TCCGGACGACGTAACATCTCTGACCTTGTCTTGGGATCTGGTAACTTGTCAAAACTACTTTCGTTCTCCACATCTCCTGCATCGCAAGCCGCTGTCATCGCGTAATCTGCCTGATTCTCAGGCATTGCAGCTGGATTGTCACGGTCGGAAGACATCAGAGATAACAGGTCAGACGCCAGCTCCACCGCGTCCCATACGGGAGAGACCAACGCTAGATTCGCCACAAGAAGACGCGTATCCCTGAAAGTAGGGTCCACATTAGCACTGACCTGTGGGGCAGATGACACAGGATCGACATGCTGTAAACGAGTTTTGTACATCTCATCCCTCCATACTGGAACAAAACGCTGGGATGCTGGCTGAAGGCTTGTCCTGTCTTCCCCCCTGTCCCAAACATACAAGATCTCTTCAGATTCAGTCGACCCCTGCACAATATGTGTAACTTGCAGATACTGTGGAAATTTCTTGTGCTGGGAAAGTACAACCACTTCAGGCGAACCCCCAACTGTAGCTTCGACAACATCCATGATCTCATCCGCTGCACGATCAAGACAGGGTTTAAAAACCTTGGTATGGTCGGTCATATCACCAAAGACGTTCGGTGGAAAGCTGCACGAGTAATAATCTGCTAACATGCAGGCCTCTGATATTGTCTCCCCACTTGTAAGCACCACCATTGCCTTCTGTTCGGTTTGTTCCAAAAACTTGATGTCAGGATCAGTGACAGACCGTAACACCCAGTAATTGTCGAGAGTTGGGAAAACAATCCGCGCGAGAAACTTTCCCTCCTTGAAAACCATCTGCAAAATTTTGCCTTGCTCTACTTGACCATTTACAAGAACTTCGACATCTCGATTGACATATTTGCTTTCCAAGACCCCTCGCTCCGCCTTGAAATCCCTCCGTGTTCTTCTGCGATATGATGGAGGTATACTCCCACGAACTGGGTAATTACCATACCATTTGGGATCGACGTGAGAATTCTCTCCCGAATCCGTTTGACCACTATTTTCGCCTGACCCCGAGGATCTCTTCTTGCCCACTGCAACTTCTCCGACAGCCTGCGGTTCATTCGGTACCATCGGTTCACTTGCCACAGTGATATTCACCACTGACACGTCTCCCTTCGCATCCATCGCGGGCGTCACGGTCGTAGTCGTCTTGCTTCTAGTTTTTAAGATGCGCCCCCAGTGGAATATTTCGTCGAGAGAAATCTTTTCTGGTCTCATATTACTCTTCTTCCAATTTCACAAGTCGATTCTTTACACCTGGCATGCAAGAGTTCAGCGATCTGGATCTCTAACGGCCCCATCCTTTGGTGTGCCCCCACAACACCTTGAATACTATCCTTGAGATTCTTAAACAGTAGCTTGATTTTTGTCCACGTTCCTCCAGAAGGCTTCTTCAGACTCAAGTGGCTGTTTCGCTAGCGCTCTGAGCTGATCTCTCCCTTCGTCCTCAGTAAGCTCGATAAGCTCAGCTCCACTTCGTTGCTTTACATTCCAGCGTACCAGTGCCAAAGTTTTGAAGAATGCCAAAGGATAGTTGCCTCCTCCTGACATCTGCCACTCTATGTCGAAATCATCCTTTAGCTTCACTCGAAAATAACTGTTCGTGCTTACAAGTACCTCAGCAATATCTTCAAATAAGACTTCCACCTCCTGTCGATCAGCTGAGGATCTGAACAACCTCGGTGATATCTGGTACTTGTGTGGAGAGAAAACCACAGATGTATCGAGTGGATTACCCATCTCTCCATCCTCTGAAGCACCATCAATCACATCCTCGCTGGCTGCGATTGCCTCCTCGAATTTTCCTCGCAACTTCTTAAACTTCTCAAGAGCATCCTTGAATTTCTTCCCATTCTTCCAAATGTACCCAGCATGCAGAAACAACGCCGTGACCTGAATCTTCCACTCCAGCGAAGAGAATTTTTCTAGACCTTCTGGAGACGACTCCCACATTTCATGAAATTCTCCAACAAACGATCCAGTCTCGTCAATCGGAAACAAGTCCAACAGTTTTAAGAAACAAGCCCCAAGATTTGGACGAAAACGACTCATGGCACCTGAGAAAGGAAGGAACAGGTCCTCGAGTTTTTCCTTGGAGGTAACCTTCCCATGCTTCAGCTTGTCGACCTGAACATCACCATGGCTTCGTTTCAACTCCTCTTGCAGATCTGGCATGCTCATGATCGTCAACTTGGAGTTACCAATACCGTTCCAAAAAAAATGAGTAACAGCGTACAGTACAACAACCAGGAGCCTTAAAGAGCCTTCAAACTCGTTGTCAATTCGACGCACAAAGACCAAGAGCCCTTTAACTCGTTGTCCTTGGAATCTTATCGTAGAGTCTTTTTGTATTCCTTTGTTCGTGAATACAAAAAGAAAATTTTCTTTTTGTATTGGAATCAATTCCTGACTCCTAGAGTCTGTGCACAGATGAATGACTAGTAGAACAGCTCAACAGCTGACTGATAAGTCCAAAGACCAAGACTCACAGATGATGTGCGCACGAAGACACCAATGACTTTCACAGCCAACCAAACACCTCAGATAACTCAGATCAACTTCCCAACAATCCCCAGCACTTTATTCCCAACACTCGTAGCAGCAAGACCAACCAAACAGCTTCCCTTCACACACCACCGCCTTACTTCCACCACTGTACGAGTGCTGCCTCTTCGACAGCCGGCGCCTCTTGATTCCTCCGGCGCCGCCTCAGCTTCCCCAGGCTCCAACCAACCGGATCTTCTAAGTCACAGACTAAGCTCCAGCCCACTAGCTTGGACCTGCAGGCTTCACTTGGTTCACAACCTGATTAGACGCATCCCTTGAACTTATCGCGTCTGAAAGAACTTCTGAGAGGTTTGTCAGAACCTGAGGGGCTACCACTCTGATGGGGCTACCACTCTGATGGGGCTACCACTCTGGCTACCGTACCACTCTGATGGCTACCATTCTATGGGGCTACCGCTCTGATGGGGCTACCACTCTGATGGGGCTACCGCTCTATGGGGCTACTGCTCTATGGGGCTACTGCTCTATGGGGCTACCGCTCTATGGGGCTACTGCTCTATGGGGCTACCATTCGGGCTACGTCGCCTTCCACGACGCCTTACAGCTGCGGGGGGCAACTTGAGGAGTACAAAAACTATTTTTAAAGACCCTGACGGTCTTTAGAAGTAATTTAAAACAGTACCACGTTTCGTGGCTCCCTTGTTGCTGGTACGGAGATCTCGATCTCGCGCTCGAAAAGATCTTAATTCAGATTTTAGTCATCAAACTACCCCACCCAGTGTTCATACTGGAGGAATCTGGAAAATACACCGGTGTGGTAAAGGACCCTACCCTCATCAGTCCATGCGCCCCGCCACTGTACCCCATGACCTTTCGATGGCAAGTGGGGGTGAGCGGCGGGTCTACCCTACCCCTGCTAGAGCCCTGCCACATAGCATCTAGGGGTACTCTACTCTACAGCATTGCAAGTGGTACAAAAGGTGGGTATATCAAGGTCAAGAGTAGGGGTAGTCGATTGTAGGGTACTGTTTGTAGCTTTGTTGGGTAGGGTGCAAACGATGGTGGACCTCCTCCCCCCGCATGTCCATGGCAAGGGGTGTAGCTGCTGAGCCCGTCGTTTCAAATGGAAAATAAGGGGTAGGGGTATATACCACTACCTCTCTTTTCCAAGCATATTTCCTAGAACAGGGGGGTATGTGTAGATTAGGGTATGTCATGGTTGGGGGGTAGTCAGGATTCGAACGCAGGGACATGGGAAATACACGGTGGGTACTTGAAGCATAGGGGTAGGGGGTTAATCCAACACCGGTACTTTTGATATCATTTTCATGGGATATCGATAAATATTAACCCTACCTATCCTCTGAATAGTACCCTACCCTTCCCCAGATCACTCAATCCCTTCAAGCCCGTGGGAGGACTACCCCTCGTCCACCCCTACCCCGAAATTTTGGCTCATAATATCCTTGTTAAGGGGGTGGGGATATTTTGTCCACACCCCACCTTTCCCCAATGATCACTTGAACGTTGACTTGGGTGGGGTCATTGATCCAATGGGATCAAGTACCCTCTCTTTCATATCTGATTTTCTTCATACATTCCTGGTAGGGTATAGCCACCCACCCTGGTCTTCACCCCAAAATATGGATGACATCAGAGGGTAGGGTAGACCTATAGCAGCCTGTGGGAAATCTTACGCCAACATGGCGTGATTGTGGAAAGAGGAAGAGAGGACGAGGGGACGAGGAGAAGAAGAGGGGGGAGAAGAAGAATAGAGATCACAATGAGTATCATGAACATCGAGTAGGATGAGGAGGATGTGGGTGGGGGGGAGATGAGCGGAAGAGCGGAGGAACGGAGGAGCGGAGCTAGCGCAGTTGCCCGCGGAGGTCACTGTGTGAATCATAAGAGAGCGTGAAGGTGACGATAGCAGGGATCTTGAGGTAGAAGAAACAATAAGTTGAGGAGATGGTGCGATGACGAGGGTCAAGTTCGAGTAGAGGAGGAGGAGGTCCGAAGTTATGCAGGAATGGTGGGGTCAGAGTTGAAACTCTGCTTGTATCCCTCAAGATCCCAAGAAAAAAAGAGCAGGACAGGAGGGATGAGTGAGGAGAGATCCGCGGAACGAAGATGTATGCTAGCTGCCAACTGTAGGTGGGCCTTAGCATGCTCTTGCAAGAGCGTCGCAGTGGCAGTTGAGGGGAGATTCGTACAGGGGGGCGATCAGCAGAGCCCGAGAGCATGGAGGATTGAGTAGGCGAGGAAGGGATGTAGTGCAAGGGCGGTCGAGCTAGTTACTGGCGCATGTTCTGACTGGTCATGACAGTCTGGTGGAGCATCGCAAGACCTGGTCACGCGCACCCAACGTACTCACTGCACCACCTGGAAGGGAGGATGAGCAGAAGACTTGCCATGCGCCCCTGCGAGCTGGCATGCGTCATGCTCCTCGGCCTCCTGCCCACGTACGCTAGACCCTCAAGAATGGCGGCTCCCCCTTCCCTCCAGTCGACCGCCTTCGCCTCCTCCGCGCCTCTGCTCGAAATGCTGCTCAGTCGTGGGAACAAGGCCCAGGAGCTGCCGAGACAGGCAGGAAGTGAGTCCACGTGCTCAGTGGCCCTGGGAAGATTTCTGCACTCGGGATCGGAGAGGAGGAAGACCCCCTCGGTCGTCTCGCTCTCCGCCGTCAACGGGGTGAACGGCAACGGAAGGAGCAAGGTTTCGCAGGCTATGGACTGCACGCAAGTCGCCAGGCCGAGGCCGAAAGTTCTTGTGACTGGAGGAGCGGGTTACATCGGTACCCACCTGTGCACGGAGCTGCTGCAGAGAGACTACGACGTCGTCGTGCTGGACAACTTCATGAACTCGTCCCCGCGGGCGCTCGAGCTTGTGGTGGGAAGGAGGGGAGAGGAGGAGGAACGCTGAGAGTGGTAGTAGTAGGAGGAGAATGGAGGGAGGGAGGGGAGAGAGGGAGGGAGAGAGGGGAGGGAGGGAGGAGCGACGGGAGTGGGAGGGAGGAGCGACGGGGAGGGAGGGAGGAGCGACGGGAGGGAGGGAGGGAGGGAGGGAGGGAGGGAGGGAGGGAGGGAGGG